AAATTTTATAACCAATTGTGGAAAAAAATATTACTTTAATGGACAATTTTCATGTAAAACAAAGCCAAACGAATAGAAAATTTAAAAATTTTCCGGGTGGAAAATTATACCAATCAAACACACTTGAAATCATTTTCCCTGCACAATATTTTCTAAGAAAATCTTTTTCCTGTAAAACATTTTCTTTCCACTCATTTTCTACCCTTACAATCAAACGCACCCTAATATTTTATGGCATATACAACAGTTAACTTTCTATTTTCTTTCGAATAGAGTTTTTGAATATGATTGTTATGTTCTGTGATTATATTTGTCATTATATTCAATGAAATAAAGACCATGTTAGCGGTACATCAAATTTTACATCGGGGGTTACACCCTCCTCACATAGGAAATGGGGTCCACTCAAATAAAAAAATATTATTTCAGTAGATCCCACCTCCCATGTGAGGAGGTGTAACCCTTGATATACACCACTTGATGTACAAGTGGTATTACTCATGAAATGATTGGGTGCTCATTTATTGGACGTTCAATTAGGTGAACTAAGGAGGACAAAATTGAATACAAGAAGACATAAACGTCAATTTCATTGAAATTTTCCTCGCATTCTAGAAGACAATATTGATAATGTTCAATTTTATTATGTAAACGTAGATTTTCAATGACTTTACCGTAGTAACATATTGTCTTTATAAAACCGAGATAACTACATTTTTCATGAAGAAAAATTCTATTTGTACATCAATTTTTACTTAATATTTTATCGAATTGACAAGTGGTGGCTCCCTATTGGGGGCACCTGGGGTTGATGCACATGTAGTATAATTCTTTCATGAATTACAAAATGAATTTGTTATGAGTGATTTATTTATCCTTTGTACAGTGCATGAATGAAGATTATAAGGATGTGTTTGATACACAACTTTTCCCTAGAAAATGGAAAATATTTTCCATTTACACCATTTTTCTCTTGTTTGATGACAAACTTTTTTCATGAAATTGTTTTTCTTCCGAAACACTCAGACACTGATTTTCTCACTTTCATTGAATTTGTTTTCTTTGGGTTTTCTTGGTTTTTCATTTTCCAGGAAAAGAAGGAAAAAAAATAAAACGTTAATCTTTTTTAAGATTTGTGTTACCATTTTTTTTAATAGTGAAAATAACTGTTTAAAGTACATTTTGTTTCAGTTTGCTTACCATAAGCCATACTATTAAAAAAAAAAAAGGAAAAACAGTTAACCTTGTTTAATTAGATTCAATGGTAGAAAAAATTATAACTTTAATGGACAATGTTCATGAAAAACAAAGTCATACGGACACCAAATTTCACCATTTTTCAAGTGAAAAATTATATCAATCAAACAGATTTAATTACAATTCCCAGTAAAACGAATTCTAGGCAATTCAATTTCCAATAAAACATTTTTTTTTCCGCTTATTTTCTACATTTGCAATCAAACGAACCCCAAGTTATTTTAAGTTTGTATCTGACAGAGAATAAATTCAAAAATGGACCGTGCTACTCTACCAGATTGGTACGAAATCTGGATCTCGGTTACTCAGTACCCCCCACTCACTATTTTGTAAACCAACCCCCCGAGGAGGGGGGGGGGCGAGGGTTTAATGAGGT